GGGGATAAAAACCTAACGGTGGCGCCCTCAAACCACCCACTAGACTAGAGAACATCTTTAAGTTTGAGAAAAGAGAAGCACATCGACACAGTAACGGTCATATGGTGCAAAAGTTGTTTGGGTTAAAGGGGCATTAACATACATTTAATGCTGGAGGAAACGCACAACAGACGTACGAAGAAAAAAAAGTAGGACTTAATTACCAGTGGCGACTTCCATCACCTGTGTCAAACATATCTCCCCTCCCATCAGCAAACCATTACACAGTGTCCATTTCCCCCTTCACGCTCTCGTCTGCTTTTCTTCTGTAACTATTATTCAGTTCCTCTGCATTTCTCCCTGAATTCATTGTTAATGCTCCCTTTCATCTCCTGGTGTTATAAAAACATCGCGCACATAAACAATATTATGCAATTCTCCACGTAAAAATTTACACCAAAAGCATAAACCACTTTACATACGTACCATCAACAAACGGGGCTTACCTATTTTCACACAGATTTACAATTCTGAATACTTTCACACTACAGTGCCACTACGGTCTATAAACAAAACTAGATATCAACTTTTTCCGAAGACAAAACGCTTAAACATTCAGTGTGGTGCCACCGTGCCATCGGAAAAGACCAAGAGATAGGCGATGCCTGCATTCGAGAAGAAAAATAAGAGAATTTCGCAACAAAACCGTTAACGATAAGCCAACGCCAAGAGTCGGATCACAATCAAGACCGCTGCTCTCCATAGAGATTTATACAAGTGGCAAGCGATCAATAAATCGCTTCTCATAAACCAGCGGAAGCCATGAGACACGGAAAGCAAATTAAATTAAAACGAAAGGTCCCTGGGTATTGTTCACATAACGGCAACGCCCCAACACAGAAGGTCGACAGTTCGGTGTGGTCGTGAGACACACTGCGGACAGCTAAGGTTACGTCAGTCCGCAGCAAACACCCGCTGGAAGAATAATTATATAGGCCTAAACTGCATGACTGGGGTATTGATTGATTATATATATATATCTCTCTCATCATGACGAAGCTTGTTGACACCAGATACGTGAATATAATATGCACGAAAATAAAATATACATACCGGTAGGTAACAGACAGACAGACAGACAGACAGACAGACAGACAGACAGACAGACAGACAGATACATCGATCGATCGGATAGATCGATTAGACGGACGGACAAACAGACAGGCAGACACATAGAGTGAAAAAGAAGAGGGGGCTGAAAGAGGGGAAAGAAGGAAGTGAAGGGATGGACATGGGAGTGGGGGAAAAAAACAGGAGACGATTAATCAGCAGACATAAAGAACGGACTCGGATATATGGCACAATCGATAACTAAGTGTCATTTAATCGACGGGCGGGCATTACTTTTAAAAAGGCAATTTTCACACCAAAACAAGTACAAAGCCCAAGTTGTGATAAGCTCACAAATGAAAAGACAGGGTGAAATAACTGGGAGAGACAGGCAGGCAGCATGACGGACAGAGACACAGAGACATAGACAGACAGACAGACAGAGAAAGAGAGGGGGGGACAGAGAGAGAGAGAGAGAG